TGTTCTCAAGAAACGCAACGGATAATGCTGCTGGTACCTTACTTTGACTGAATTGTTGGACAACTTTGGTTTTTATTAACGAAACAAAATTAAAACCACAAAATTTCAATACATTGTATTAAGAACACTAAATACAAGAGGACTTTTCAACTCAAGCAATTTTTTATTTACACACATTAGGCTGTTATGAGTTAAATAATTAGTCCATTTAACTTTACGTTTTGCAATTTCTCTGTGAAATACGTGTAATATTTTTATTTGTGCACGATCTTAGTTGATCGTATATTTTCCTAAAAATAGGCAAGGTTGTCTGCATCTGGGCAGTTATTGACTAGAACCAAAGCATCAGACCGTCAGTTAACGATAAGAAATGCTGATTTTTGGAATTTGGTTAGTAATTGGTGTCATGATGTAAGTGACTTTGAAAATATTGAATACGGAAGAATTGCAAAAATATGTGGAGCATTCTTGTAATAATAAAACTTTGCGAATTTAGCAAAATAAATTATACAACTATGGGAAAAACCCAATAAAGTAACTAGGTCATATATTGGATTTTTGCATCAAGTTTAGGTATATAAGACGAGTTCAAAATTGGAACTGGGGTCTTGGAAATGTGAAGCGGTTAAGCGCAGTAGCGGTTGACCAAGTATTAAAGAGTGTAAAAAAGTGAAAAGTGAAGCGTAGTAGCGCTGATATATATTGGAAATAAATAAAGTAAAGTGTGTCATTGTATAACTAAAGAAAAGTGTATTATTTTTACGGGTTTTCTGGGAGGACTATATCATCATCACCATCACCTCAACATCCTCAACTAGGTGTATATTGTTTGGTTAAAGAGGAAGCAACAACTACTCGGATGAATTTAAATGTAAAGAGTACAAGTATGAGTTGATTTAACAACAATTATATTGAAAAACAAAGTTAACAAATATAATAAGTTGCTTTTATATAAAAATTTAGTTGAAAATCTGTCATTATTATTTAATTTCAAAATATTATAATTTATTTATAATAATAATAATAACTAATAATAATAATAAACTGTTCATTATAATAAATACGTGTTCATGCTTGAGCAATAATTCACATAAAATATTTATGTTAAATGTAATATAAAGTTTTTTTAGAAACTGAATTTATTATTACCGGATTTATTGTACGGTAATATGTCGCTTTAATTATTGCAACTAAATTTATTTTAAAAACAGCAATAATATTTGCTTAAACTAATTTTCTATTTCTATTTTTTTAAAACTATTTTTATTTATTTATTAATTTATTTCATTTTACGCATTTTGTCTTTTATTAATACACATAAGAAACTTATTTTTTGTGTAAAGCAATCATTTACAAAATTTGCAGGATGAATTAATCATTTGCAATTTTTTTGTAAAGTTTTGCAGTTTACTTTTGCAAAGCGCAAAGTAAAAAGTATTGGTGCAACAGAAAGTGCAAAAAAAACCGGTTTTTTGTCAAATATTTCACTTTCCTTTTCATACTTTATTTTCATTGAAAAGTACATTGCTCCAACGCTTTGCCTTTTTTGAGTGTTTTCAAAACTTTGCACAACTCAATTCTCAAATTAATGCTTTGTGTTCTCAATGAGAGAAAAATGCTCAAAAACTGATAATAGTTTGCAAAGTGCAAACTGTGAAAGTGAAAAGTGTTGGTGTAATAGGGCCCTGCTCACCAAAATTTTGGTGAGCACGCCAACATGTTGGTGATAGGTGCAGACTATCATACCTGTGTGTCACACAACGTTTTTCTCTCTCGTATGACACACCAGTATAATAGTCTGCACCTCACTTTACAGTGCTGTTCGTATTTGGTTTTACGCAGTATTCGGAGTATTCGATTAATTGAATAGTAAACGAAGTCTTCGAAATTGGAAATAAAATTGGATTTTTTGTAATTTCGAAGTCTTCGAATATCCGGATTTGAGGTTTTTAGTCTTCGAGTAATTTCACTGCGAATAAAAGTGAGTAAAAGTTAAAACGAAACAGAAATTATAGAAATGGCACACAGACAGTGTCATTTCGCATCTATAAAGAGTTTCGAAATTCTACAAAGGCAGTATTATATTCCAAATGCATTCACTAAAGTGGAGAAGGTCGTTAAGTCATGTGTAAAGTGTTTAGTAGCTAACGCAAATGAGGGTAGGAAAGAAGGGTTTCAAAATCCAATAGACAAAGGAGATAGACCTCTTGTTACATAGGGCCAAAAACGGCTTCACGCAAACAATATAATCATATACTTGTAGTAGTTGACGCAATTTCAAAGTTTATCTGGTTGTAGCCCACTTAGAATACAGGGACAGAGGAAGTGTTAAATAGGTTAGAGAAACAAACTTCAGTTTTTGGAAGTCCAAAACGTATTATAACAGACAGAGGAACAATCCTTACCTCGAATTCTTTTGGATATAATTGCGTTCGCGACTGTATTCAGCATTTGACGGGTGCTACTGGTGTCCAGCACGGTAATGGACAAGTCGAGCGAATAAATAAAACTGTCAGTGGTTTGCTCACTAAACTATGTGTGAATAATAGTAAAAATTAGTATAAATTTGTTAAGCTTATCCAACAATTAATAAATAGCGAGTTGTTGGTTGAAGGTACCTATCGGAGTTAGTTACGAGATGAAGCGAAAGCAAATATATCAAGTTTACAAGAAGAGAACAAGAAGGGGTTCGATAAAGGAAAACTTAGGGAACAGGAATATAAAATAGGGGAGTTGGTTGCCATTAAGCGCAATCAACTGGATACAGGTATGAAACTACAGAATCTGACCATACAGAATCGCGGTTGTTGGGGAAGGGTCGTTATAAAGTAGAGAAAGTGGGTGAAAATGAAGGTCCGAATAATACCAATAGCGCAGCAGAGAATATGAAGAAATGGGGTCATTCGGGGCGAATGACATGTTAGGAATAACCGAGTTGTAGGATTGGCAACTCTGTTCTAGAACAAAGATATCAAAAAGAAGTGCAACAAGTGAATCAGTTGAAATTGAGTTGCTGTGCGCGACGTTCGTGAAGCAAGATAGAATGTGCCATAGAGTTTATCTAAAAACATTATCAGTATAATTTATAACATCGTAATAAATACATGTATCATGATACTTCAAATTTATACATAAAAAGTATAATTATACTTAGTTAAATAAAACTTAATTAATTAATTCATTACATACAATATTGTATAAATCAAACAAAAAACGATGTATTATGTATCACAGACCTCTAAATGAAACTACAAATTTATATATAAAAAGTATAATTATACTTAGTTAAATAAAACTTAATTAATTAATTCATTACATACAACATTGTATAAGTCAAACAAAAAACGATGTATTATTTATCACAGACCTCTACATGGTAGGCACCTTGACGTGGTGTAGGGGCTTAGCTACAGCTCTGACTATAAATATGAATATTCCCAATCACCTGGCATTTGTCAGATGACTGTGAATTTCTAGAACGAGGTGTACAACCAAGATCTACCTTTAGGTAGTTTTGTGTTGTCATGTAGTCTATCTTTTCACGTAGTTGTGTTTGTGTTGTTTTATGTAGCAGTAGTAGTAGTAACTTCATGTGTAATAGTAGTAGTAACTTCATGTGTAATAGTAGTAGTAACTTCATGTGTAATAGTAGTAGTAACTTCATGTGTAATAGTAGTAGTTACTTCATGTGTAATAGTAGTAGTAACTTCATGTGTAATAGTAGTAGTAACTTCATGTGTAATAGTAGTAGTAACTTTATGTAGGCTGACTGACGTGGTCCGAATGGCTACTATAACATCTTAGCGTCTCGGGGAGCAGATGAGTCTTTGCATTTAGGTGCTACTCATTAAGTTCGTCATTTAATCGTTCGGACTTTAATGGAAGTGTAGTTTTTTGTAGGATCGATGACCCCAAAGCAGTTAGGTCATGTCTCTGCTGGTTTTGAGGTCGGCAGGAATTAGGCGGGGTGAAGGAAAACACCCTGGGTTTGATTGAAGATATGAAACAATCTGTAGTTTTTATCCCTAGTCTTAAATTTTTATATAAGGATGTATGGTGTAGAATGTGTGAATGTATGAATGAGACCCGAACAACCCCCCAATCTACAGTGGAACAGCTATGTTATGCCTGTAGGAACTTGGTCACGGGGCAAGTGATGACCTTAATAGCGAAGTGCGGATACCAGGCGACCTCCCCCTTCAATTTGCCTTCTGTCGGTAAATGGGCTCTGCCGATGGCGACTTTATACTTCCCTTATACTCGTGGGATATCTTATGGATACATCTAATAAACAAACAAAAGGGGATGATGCTACCCTTATCGCAATAAATACTACTGCTGTTGGGCAGGAAATTAACAATGACCAGTCGACTGTTGTGTCACAGGTCAGTGAACCTTTTGTAGATGGTGCTGTTGGGCACATCTGCAAAAAAATACAAGATGTGGAAAATGTTGTTTTTCCACAGTTTACTGATGCTAGCAGCAAAGAGACTGAAGGGTCTGATGCTGCCTCTATTGACATTGATGGAGTCAGACTCTGTTCTGAACAGTCAGGTGCTACTGTTGTCAATGTTAGTATTAAAGGGATCAGTTTACATGACCAGAAGGGTTTTGTAAAACTGAACTCAATGCAGAAGAGGAGGTTAAAGGCTTACATGAGCCAGGGACACTCTAGGGATGTGGCCCTAGACATGGTTGGAAGTTTACCAACTCGTGGGCCAACTAAAAGGGCTTTATCTGACGACATGGTTATGCCAGCTGGTAAGAAATCAAAGCAGAACACCTCGATTCAGGGATCGAGTAAACCCTCTTTCAGTTAAGTAGCAAGTCAGGCCAAGGGGATCAAATTAGGAATTGTTCCTTTTGATTTGGCTAAGTGCCCCCTAAACAGGGAACAGATTGCACATCTACAGGAGGCCATAATTGAGACTGCTATAGCGTTGGCGTCAGACGAGGTTAAACCAAAATTTGAAGGTTGTTTCCCTCGCACGGGATGGCTCATGGTGGTGTGCACAAATAACCAAACGGCCGAATGGGTCCGTAAAAATGCGGCAACTATTGCAACAAAGGCTAAACTAAGCGCCAAAGTGGTTGAAGAGTCGGAGTTCCCAAAAACACACCTGGTGCGAGGATACTTTCCGCACAGTTGCGATTTTGAAAACACCAAGGTTCTTGCCACAATTGAGCGGACTGCAGAAGGTTCACTGCTCCACATCGTCTTTGATGTCGACGATGCATCCTGGAACTTATTGGTCCAGAGTGGAGGTAGAATAGCATATCGCTTCAGTCATGTCAAGCTACTGTTTAAAGCTAACAGTATGACAAAGGAGGGGCAGCCAGAACAACGGCCTGTGAAACAAAAGATTCCAAACAAACTCCAGACCACAAGGACGGAGAGACAGAAAGTGGAGCACGTGGTCCCACAATCAATACTTACGTCTACTGTGACTCCCAATGAGGCCCCAACTACTGGTAGAGCCGCCATTCAAAAAAAGCTTTCGATGCGGGCACCTGTGGGTGGAGCACTTCTTCTTGGACTTTCAAATCAAAACAGATCCTAGAGTGTTACGAGCTTCTGCAATCACTTACAGCTCGGAATAAGGTAAGCCTTTACTGGGTTCCGGGTCACAAAGGAGTTTTGGAAAATGAAGAAGCTGATGAGCTAGCCAGAACTACATCAAAAACTGCTTTTATAGGCCCTCAACCCTTTTGTGGAATAAACTGGGCCAGTACAAAACAGATTATCGAGGAAATGGAATATCATATGCGGCTGGAGTACTGGGTAAACTTTCTAGGACTCAGACAAAGCAATTCTTAAATTCTCAAAATGTAATTTAAGGTTGATAACGGGTTTCATTACAAGTCATTATGGTCTGAAATATCACTTTCATAAACTACAATTATCTGCTAACTCGGAATGCTCGTTGTCCAGCTTTAATAACGCACAGAAGAAACCTGTTTCATAAAGAATTTCTGTCACCAGAGCAGATTAAGAAGTCTTCTCTAGATTTAGTTCTAGACTTTATTCACAAAACTTTAAGGGGATTTGTTTAATCAATAGTGAAACTGGTACAATAGGTCTCTTCTGGCCGCAGTACCGGCTGTTGGACAATTTTCACGTCTACTCTTTAATAAAAAAAAATAAATATCACATACAGTATGGCCTCGATGAATGCAACTGATAGAATTCGAGGGTGTTGCAATAATCGAGTTTAGTTTGTTTAGTGCAAATAAAGAAGCATTAACACAAAGTTTATTAGAAAATAACATGGTTACTAATTTTTATTTATAACAACATAATTGCAATCACACTTTATAATAATAATTTGTTATTTCAGCTTGCTTTTTATTGCAATTAAGATTCATTGTAACTGCTTCATTTTTTAGATCTTTAATTATTACAACTTTTGTAAGGAATTTTCCTCAGTCCATTGTATGTATGTGTTAAGTGCATTTATTGCCACGTTATTTTTTGATTTAAAGTGTAAGTACACAGTCGTCAGTTTCCAAGTCTAAATCGATGTCAAGTTGTTCAGCACGACACATTTTTCATAGAAAATTTGGTAACCTCTGTTTTGTTGAGAAAAAACATTATATATTCTTATACACTGAGAAATTGTTCGCAAATTCTTATGATTGAGTAAAGGAGAGCAAATAAATACACATAACTGACAAATAAAATATTTAAATTGCAAGAGAGGAAAATAATTAGCAAAAGTTGCATTCTTCGCGGTAGTCAATTTTCAAAGTTGCAATATCAAAGGTAATATCTACAGTTCAAATTTAAGAGAATGCAATACTGTATATACAATAGAAAACAAACACAAAGTGTTCCTCTTGATCGGTCTAATGTTTTTGGAGACAAATTTTTCAAAATCTCAGTTGAAAAAATCTCTTGTATTCTTGATTAAAAGCTCTAAAATGAGACCTTTTGGTTCTAATACAGAATCGTGGAAAAGTTGGGGAAAGGTCGTTATAAAGTAGAGAAAGTGGGTGCAAATGAAGGTCCGAATAATACCAATAGCGTAGCACAAAATATGAAAAAATAGGGTAATTTGGGGCGAATGAACTTTTGGTCCTGATTTTCAACCGAATTCTCTTTTTTGTTCTTTTTTTTAAGTTTTGTATAAATTAGTAAGTTGATACCTGTTACAGTTTGTACTTTTTTTTAAAAAAAAGAAGGAATTCCCAAAATGCGCAATTTAATGAGGCAGTGCTTTATAATTGGTTGAGGTGTACTGAGATATACATTTTTGATTAAAAGTGAAAATTATAAAAAAAATGTAAAATAAGCGTAAAAAAATACGTTATATTCGCAAAACTAAAGCAGAGATATTAGAAAGTCTTGACAAGGGCGTACAAGCAAATAATTTAGCTTTGGACTACAATGTGACAAAATCTACTACCACATTAAATCCAAAAACGAAACTGTAATTGCTGCTGCTTCAGATACTTATGAAAAACGAAGCAAAAAATATTTGCTTGATGCCAAATATTCTTTGATGGAAAAATATTTTTAATATTTAAATGGTTTCTTAATGAGCCTGAAAAGAAGTGTACACTTAGTGCACTAATATTAAAGACGAAAGCTAAAATAATTTTTGCTGAAGTACATACAGTGGTGTTGTGCATAACAAAAGCAACCACAATTTGCCCATCAAATAAATCAGTTTTTTGTCTACTTTTTACTTTTCATTCAAAAACTTAAATACAGAGTTTTATTTGTTTTTATATTAGCTATTATAAAAAAACAACAAAATCTACAATTCTAAATAACGGGTTAAATAATTCACAAAAATAATGAGATATTGCGAAATGCGGCTGTGCAGGACAATAGCAACTTTATTTATTATATTAAATTTTTGTATTATTTTTCTAAATTTTGTATAGTCCTTTGCTTTCTATTACTTGGGCACTTCTACGGGTCATAGGTGATATTAAATTGTTAATAAAACTATTTGGAATTTTACACCATTCATCTTTCATGACCTCAAACATTTGGAAACTTTTCGACCCCCAAACGACGTTTGAGAATACCAAAATGTTCTCAATTGAATTAAAATCAGGTGTTTGGGCTGGCTAAAATTGGAATTCCATTTTTCAAAATCCATTCTCTTATCAGCTTTATGGTGTGTTTTGGGTCGTTATCGTACTGATATACCCGTCGGAGTGACATTTCTCATCCGCCATGGGATACCATATGGCTTTCTAAAATTTTTTTGTACACATGTTGGGCTATTATTTGATGAATTTCATGAAAAGATCTTAGTCTAAATCCTGAAAAGAACGCTCAAATTATTACTGACCCACGCCCATGCTTCACAGTCGCTTGGCAGTTACGCGAATACAAACGTTTTTCATTTTCGCGACGTACTGTGCATATCCCATCAGAATTAAAGATGTTAAATTTTGATTTATTGCTGAAAAAAATTATTTTCCATTTAGTAAGAGTCTAATTTAAGTGATTCCACTTAAATTTGATCTAAATGAAGTATATTAATATTAATTAAAAAGCAAAACAAAAATCTACCTCTTTTGCTCGTGCTTTTTAGTCAACATTGGTTTTTTGACTGGTCTGTAACTTTTGAAACCGGCTTCGAGAGTAAGCCTGTGTAGAGTACTAGAGTCAACACCTTGTTTAAGCTCGGCTACGACCTTTTTCAACTACACGAATGGTTGTTTCTTTTGTAATTCTTAAGATGTTTCGATCAATTCTACAAGTAATCTTAAGAGAGGCTTCACCCAAATAAACAGTTTTAACGGTATTTTGTTAAATTATATTTTTTTATAAGCTGCGAAACAATAAACTAATTAATTTTAAATATTTTGGCTATTTCATTTCAGCACTGCCATTTAAATATTTTTCAATTCTTGCTTCTTTAAACTTCAAAGTATACTTGTCACGAGCCATGATAAAAACGTACTTCCATTACATGATTTAATATTGAACTATTCTGTGTTTATGTTCTAATTTGCTTAAAAACATAAATCACAGCATAAAAATGCAAAAAATCAAAAAAATATCTTGCTAGAATGCACTTTGGTCATAGATCTATCATTGATCTTGTCTCAGTTGCTATTGTTTTGCACAGCCGCATTTCGCAATATTTTATTATTTGTGTGAATTAATTAACCCGTTATGAAGAATTGTAGATTTTGTTGTTTTTTTATAATAGCTAATACAATAACAAATAAAACTGTGTATTTAGATTTTTGAATGAAAAGTAAAAAGTAGACAAAAAACTTATTTATTTGATGGGCAAATTTTGGTTGCTTTTGTTATGCACAACACTGTATATCCTGATACAAATGCACCAGAGTTCAAAGCAGGAGATGGATGGCTCACAAAGTAACAATAACCAAGTAAATAATAAGTTAGAACTTTTCACAAAGTCGAACCACCCGAAAAACCAAGTGATTCCAATTTGTGAGCCTCTACTGCACTACATTTTATAGTGGTCAGTACACATTTGTAAATTAGTTTTTGTATTCTGTAAATGTACAATATGCACTGATTATTTCTGTTGACTGCTTCAGAACTTAACAAGAAAATATAATATAAGTAAACGAAACCTGTATACCGGTTATGAAACAATGTAATTTTTTTTGGTAGTGAACTGAAACATTAAGGGCAACAACAAAAAAGCTTCACTTTAGTTTTATTTGTGATGACTATATTTGATGCTTATTGTCATGCAGGACAATAATTGTCAATTTTTTAAGAATACCCAAAGAGTTCAATACATCCTTAAGGCAAAAATAAAAGTATCGATGAAAATTTCTGGAATCGCAGAGTTTTAAACAACAAAAAGAAAAGTATAACTAAATAACAAAATAAAGAGCACAATGGATAATAAAATCAAAAAACAAAGGACTACAATAACATGCGAATTGCAGAAAGAATGCACCCGTTAAATTCTATAAAATTAATTGAAATGGTATTAATTAGGGACAATAAGTATTAAATTCGATTTTAAGCGGACAAAATTCTATAGCTATTAAATTACTGAAGATTTTATACTTTGTACCAAAGGTTACATTATGTTACTAGGGTATAGTAGCTTTGTCAACATTAAATCACAATTAATCAAACAAAATTGATTAAAAATGTAGTAATACTTGTACGGATTGCACGGATTTTAGCATACAAAATGAGTTTAATTGAATTAAAATTTAAAGTAATTTTAAATTAGTTACGTAATTTATACATTAAAATAACAAATGCATGACAACATTCAGCCCACTTAGTATTTATATAAATGCTGGAATTTATCCTGATTTATTTTTTTTTTAAATATAAATTACATCATTTGCTGTTAATAAAAATAAACTTCGCGCAAAAGTTTGCGATCATGTCTGAATGTTTAGAAGCAATACATCTTGCACTAAATGTTGCCAATATCTCACATAAATGTTTCATTCAGCGATCTTTTTGTGCTGAGTTAAGGATAAATTTATTACAACTTATAATGAAAATAATAGATTGTAGGATCCTTCCAAATCAATTACAAGCAAGCAAATGTTAGTGAAGGTAACAGAAAGGAACAACATCGTACAGATC